CTAGTGAGTCCCAAGTGTCCTTGAGACAGGCACATGGAGTGACTCTCATGAGGACAGTCACACTCCAGAGAGATGCTTAGTGATTGGGCTGGGTGTGCCACACTAGGGAAAAGAACAAGCAAGCAAGTAGGCCAGGTTTACACCCTACAAGATGTACACAAAGCCTGTGACTCTGAGCAAAGCCTCCAGCAATCTTCTTGTCTGAGACCCAGGGGTCTAGGGGATGTGGGGGCACTCTCTAGCACTCTCTGCTGTTTCCATTTTCTCTCCCTGTTCTCCCTTCCCTCCGGTGGGAGGAGAATGCCAAGCCTGATAGTGGCCCAGGACTACCTCCTTGCCAAGTTTATGCTGCCACGCTGTTCACGGACAGCTCACAGCCAACAAGAAGCCAAACGTACAGTAGCATCCACACATCAGGGCTGCTGTTTTATTTAACATCCAGTTGTTCTTTTAAGTCGGTCCTATTGAGCTCACCTCCCGAGCCTTACAGCATGCAGAGTTGATACAGAGATCAGAACACTCCCTATCCCAGGAGCTGGCAATCCTGAGAGCCCTCTCCAAGCGAGGAGGCAGCAAGGCATTAAGTGTGCAGAACAGACGAGATAGCCTTGGAGGCAGATGCATGCCGAGGGGTGAACGGGGGAGGATTCCTGGGGAAACAGGGCTGTCACCCAGCGATGTGAGAACAAGACTCATTTCAAGCTTTGTACACGTTGTGCTCAGGCCCAACCAGCACTTGTTTGGGCCATGGGCATTTTTGGCAGGATTCAGCCCTCATCATTATGGACAAGAGCATCTAGGGTAGTGGGTGGGGAGGGGGGGGACCACTTGTTAAATTTCCACCTCCATGTTTGACGTTGCCTGGGTAAACAGAACTGTTTCTCACTGGCTACCTCCAACATCTCCAGGTCTTGCCTAAAGAGCCACATCTAAGCAGCTGAGGATTCACTGAGATGTCAGCCTAAAGGCAGCTACCCTCCAGCAGTCTAAGGACATAATGGTTCTGCCCTTACTCAATGCACAGGATCAAAGCAGCTATAGAAATATGGGGCGCAACAGTGCCAAGAGGTGGACCAATGTGGGAAATGGGAGAAGGAAGGGAAGGAGGGACCCTTCTTTAAAATACCTGTGTTCCAGCTGGGTAGCTGTACTAGTGAGCTCTGAGTTTGACTGAGAGACCCTGCCTCGAAGAATAAGGTAGAGAAGCGATCAAGGAAGATTCCTGACCTCAGCTTCAGCTCTCCACATGCATGCACGCATGCCCATGTGCACTCACACATGCAAACACCACACACACATGTGAAAAGGAAAAACAAGGTATTTGTGCACCCCACACACTTCCCACACAACCACCATGCTAGTCTGGAGGGCTGAGGCTACTTCTAATGCTTTATTAGTGTCATTATTAGATATGAGACTGGCAGCTGTGAGGGATGACCGTGTCCATCATTAAGCGGTTTTGAATGGGGAAGTGTATTCTCCTTGACTCTGAGAATTAGGGGTTCCCTAAATAACATAAGCATGATAAAAGCTGTGTCCTCAGGAAAGGGACTAAGTGAAGAAAGTCCAGGGGCTGGAGGGTCGATGTTCTGATGAGACACACCGCCTACAGCACTAAGGAGGATTTAAAGGTGGATATTTTAAATTTTCCAGTAAGAAAGATGTTCTGGGGCTAGAACAAAATGGTTCAGCAATTAAGAGCAACGGCTGCTCTATCTTAGAACCCGGGTTTGATTGCCAGCACTCACACTGTACCCACCCCCATCTGCCTATAATTCCAGTTCCAGGAAATCCCTTTTCTGGCCTCTTTGGACACTGAATGCGTGTGGTATACACAAAGACAAGCAGGCACACATGTACTCTAAATAAAATACATAAATACTTTTTTAAAAAAATGTGGCAGATGACATGAAGAATGTCAGCTGGAACTGACCTGGACGCCTCCTCCCTGAGGACCAGCTCTTGTGGTAGCAGAGGAGAATACCAATCAATAGTCCCACCCAACTACAGCTATGCCTATGAACAATAATAACAAAGGCTAGAACGACAAGCTATCCTAGAGATGAATTAGTGGCGCTTTTGTCTTGGTTGTAACCAACGACCATCTAAATTGACTTAAGGCCTGCTCGGAAGGAAGGAATTCATGCCTGGTACTGTACACCTGGCCTGCGACTTGTGGCTGGTGAGGGCATGGGCCCTAGAAGAGAGCCTGCTACTGACACCGCACGAAACCAGCCTGATTCTAACAATATTCTAAATACCCTTATCCCACAGCTGGGTGCAGCTCTCACCCCCTATGAAGAAGCTTCTCTTTGCAGCAGATAGAAACTATTACAGAAAGTCACAACTGATCAAGATGCAGACAACAACTAATCATGGGGGTCCTGGCCCAAACCGATCTATACACAACACAACCCCTTCACCAAAAGCTCAAGGAACTCCTCAGAAGAGGGGACAGAAAGGTTCTAAGAGCCAGAGAGCCAGGATAGGGTGTCTGCTGCCGATACACAGTCTTTTATATGCAACAGGGAAACTGCACCCAGGAAATCTCAATAGTATGGTTGCCTAGAAGACCTTAAAAATGACAACACACAGGGCTGGAGAGATGGCTCAGCGGTTAAGAGCACTGGCTGCTCTTCCAGAGGACCCAGGTTCAATTCCCAGCAACCACATGGTGATTCATGGCTGTCTGTAACTCCAGTTCCAGGGGATTCTACATCCTCACACAGACATGCATGCAGGCAAAACAGCAATGTGCAGCAAATAAAAGTAAATAATTTTTTAAAAAATCCACAAGACCTTGGTTTAAAGAAAAAGAACAACAACAAAAGATAACACAACTGACATGCCAGTGTGTGGGGGAATTCTCACAAGGCTGCACCACCCATAGAGGAAGAGCTACAGGCAATTGATGATTGCTGGGAGAGGGAGAATCAGTCTTCTCCAAGGATGAGACCCCGCCTCCCCAGGAGGTTAGCAAATCCCTGGAGGCCAACCCTAAACACTTAAGAACAACACTAAGTGAACTCAGAAAGTTGTGTTTATAAATTCACATATATACATATGTGTGTGTGTGTGTGTGTGTGTATATATATATATATATATATATATATATATATATATATATATATATAAATTAAAGAATGAGACCACGAATTTGAGGAGTCAAGAGGAACATGGGAGGAGAGGAAGAGGTGCTGATGTCAATACCATGCTTATATGAAATCCCCAAAAACTAAATGAAAAACTAAAGATGTCCTGGGAGAACTGGGGAGTGAAGTTCCTCTCAGACCCACCATCTTTTCACACAGGTATAAAAGAAAAGCTCATACACAGGAGACTAGGGAGATGGTCAGAGGGCAAGGTGCCTATGTGCAAGTATGAGGACCCAAGTCCAATTTCTCAGCACCCATGGAAAAGCCAGGCATGGTAGCATGAACCTGTCATCCCAGTTTGGATGGGGACAGCAGGATCCTGGGGCTCCCTGGCCAGCCAATGCAGCTAAAACAGAAGCCCCAGGTTCAGTGAGAGACCCTGTCTCAAAATACAAAGGCAAAGAAGTGACTAAAAAAGATATCCGAATGTCAACCTCTGGTCTCCACCTCATGCCCCTACAAGCAAGTGCACCATCACACATATGTGTACACACATGCACACACACAAACACACCGACATGGCTCACTCCTTGATCCACACCAGGTACCCATGTTTTGTTTCCTACGAAGGAGAAGACAGAGATAAAACATACATCCTGCTAGGAACCTCACTCACTACTTCCAGACAACAGGCACACAGAAGCACAAAATCTCATTCACCCCAGTCCTGAGGAATTTGTGACAATGGACCACAAACAAGCTACAACAAAGGCCACTTCAGCAAAGCTGCACGCAGCCGCTTTATGTGGGAAGCCGGCGATTTCAACCGTAGACTTTTCAGGAAGGGCCTTTTAAGCTGAGGTCTTCTGTTATCGTTTCTGATGGAGATCATTCTGGAACGCTTTACACTGTTCCTGCCCTCTTTAGCACATTTAACATAGCTTATTTAGTGCACTGAACACAATCAGCTGTTTTATCGGTGTCTCAGGGATATCATTACCACACAGCAGAGCAGCCACCAATGGCCATGAAAAGTATAGTTGCACAACTTCAGAGGACCACCCTCACAGTCGCCTTTACATTTCTTTCTCTGGTTTTCTAAAGGTCACAATCCTTTTCTACCCACAAGGCTTGTCAATCGTTTGTGATCGCTGTCTGCTGCATAAAGGGCCTGAGCAGGTGGCAAGGGCTGTTTGATCCAGTCCAGAAGAACGGAGTTTTCTCATAATCATCCTGTGTCCAGCCATTTTCTGTTTTCTCCTTCACTCCCCCCTCAGTCCCTAGCACTTCCGATCCTGCACCCCACCAGGAACCCATCCATCTCCCCTCAGCTTCCAAATGTGTTCCTGGCCCTAACTGTGTAGTAAATGCATTGTTAAATCAGCTGGCCCTGGAGGGAAGCGCTGAGCTCGGCCACATGGTCCAGTAGAGCCCAGAGTCACGGTCTAGCAGCAGCCTGCTTCCTTTCCTTTGCGATCTGTGTGAAGATCCTTGGCATTTCTGCATCGGATGTCTGGGTTAGCAATGTCTGGGTCTGCAATGGAGCAATTATATGCTGACTGTTTTAAGCACTCGGGAGGGAGGGACTCCCCTGCGGGATTAGGACACTCATATTTGCTTTTTTTTTTTTTTTTCTATTTTACCTCATCTGCTTTGTTTTAACCAAAATTTCTGAGTACAAATGTAGCCCAGGCTGGTAAATGTTTTCAGTTTCTCGGATGCTTCTGATGAGCTACTAATCTGACATGCCTGGGAACTCTCTGAGACCCAAGAAGAGAGCCTGTCACTTCCCCTCACCTGACGTCCACCCACCTTCAAGATCTACTTGAGGGCTTCCCTCGAGGTTAAGTAGAGAGAGGTGGCCAGCGTGTATGCCAGTCCCACAGGTCAGTCTGTCTCTTCCAGCTGCACTGTTCCCCGCTGCCCACCGGCCGAAGAGGTCCTTGTCTTTGCCACTGAACCCAATCCTGCAGACCTCCCTGGAGGATGTGGAACTCCTCTATGAGGTAAGCAGAGGGAAAGCCATCAACCCAAGTCACCCAAGAACATGCCTCGTCTCTCTTTTCCTGAGAAGAGGTCTGCCTGGGCCTGTGGACTTGAATGGTCTCTGCTGTAGCAGGGAGTGGCCTAGACTCATTCCCGGAGGTGATAAAATCTGGCCTATGTCAAAGTGAGGGACTCCTGGGACCACCTCGCCTTTTCCGTGTGTCCTGAGAGAAATGGCAGTATTCAGAGTTCAGTCCAGGCATAACGGAAGGTGGGGTTTGTCCCATCGGTGCCCCTGTCACACCCAGGCACTGAGTGGAAGGTCCCAAGCAGAAGCTTCAGGCGTCACTCATCAGTAGTGTCCTGGCAAAGCCACACTGGGACCCTGGTGTTGTCATGCCTCTGAGGCTTTGCCTGCTGTACAGGGATGCTGTCTGGCTGCCTTACTAACCCATCTAAGTTTCTAGAAGCCTGCCCTACCAGACAGGCTTCCTTCTTCCACTTCCCCCTGCTTCCCTGGGACCCCACTCCTCTAAACCACCAGGTAAGTTTCTTGAGGTCACTGGGTTTGGGTCAGTGGGAGGAGCTTTAACTCTGAGGTCTGAACTTCAGTCCATTGGCCAAGAGTCTCTGAGCCTGATGCTCAACTGTCACATAGAGTTTAAGTATGATACCCAAAATTCCCCTCCAGCTTTGACACCTGGGACACAGTGAGCCAGGGAGGAGATTTCAAATGCTGCCCTGGGCAGCAAACTGCATGGCCTCTACCAAACCTTAAAAATGGGAGTCACAAATCAATGGTTCAGGCAATAGTGTCACGGAAGGCGGAGGAGAGCAGAGGGACCACAGGTAGTGTCACAGAAGGCGGAGGAGAGCCGAGGGGAGAAGACCCTTAGGATTTGGAGTCTTTCCATTCTTGGAGTATTTCCTAGGCTCCTCGTGGAACAGGGCAGGGACAATGATGATAGAAAGAGCCCCTATTCTTGCGAGCCAGTGGGAGACGACATCTCTGTAGCCCGCTACCCGCAGCACAACCCTCTGCATTCTTGAAATTCCCAACTTCAGGTTACGATCTTCTCTGTGACGGTCAGTTTATACTTCAGAAGCCCTTCGGTGGGTGAAAGGGAAAAAGAGAATATGGGGTCGATTAACTGAATGACAGCGTTATAGCTGATCCCAGGCACTAGGTCGTATTTGCCCTTATTTGTCTTGTGTGCTTCCCATGCTATCCCAGTGAAGTAGATACTGAAACTTATCATTTTACAGAAAAGGAAGATGAGGCCCGGAGAAGTTAAGGAGGAAGACCAGAGCTGGGGCCCAGGTCTCTTGGATGCTAAGCTCTTTTTATGGCTGCCTCCCAATGTGTGAATAGTGACCCTCGCTCTGTCCTTAACAATACCTGGCTTCCTGTTTTTCCTTATCCCATCTTTCTCCACAGCTCTTGCTGGCTGAAATTGAGATCAGTCCAGACCTGAAGATCTCCATCAAGGACGAGGAGCTGGCTTCCCTGAGGAAGGCCTTGAACTTCCACTCAATCTGCAACAATATCATCCCCAAGCACATCCCAGATATCCGCAGGTTGAGTGCCAACCTGGCCAACCACCCTGGAATCCTCAAGAAAGAAGACTTTGAAAGGCTAGCACTGACCCTGGCTTACTCAGCCTACAGGACAGCCTTGTCGGAAGGGCATCAGAAGGACATCTGGGCCCAGGCCCTCATTAGCCTCTTCCAGGCCCTGAGGCATGACTTGATGAGGTCCTCTGGCCCTGGAGTGTCTTCCTGAGAGACTGGCCCATGCCAGGACCTTGAAGCAGGGACAGACACACACAGTCTTCCAGAACACTCATCCTCTACTCTGCTTACAGAGACTGTGAAGAAAGTGTGTACTGCCCACACAGAATAGCAAAGATAAATGAGTCATCATAATAGTCTCTCGTTTCTTCTTGCTCCCTGACATACATCTCTGACTTATGATATAATGTTTCCAAGCTAAAAGAAAGGGCTAGATTGGGCTTTCAAGACATTTCCAGAGGCTGACTGGTCCACCTGGTAATGAGCAGAAGTCTGAGATATATTTACACACACACACACACACTGAGGATGGAGTCGGGTGTGGCAGGAAGATTCTATTGGTTCTAAGAGACCTGTATTGAATGAACATGTTCTGGCAGGTTCTATGGTAAATATTAAAAAAGGCAGAGATACATTCAAATAAATACGCTGTTAGCCAAAAGGGATATGCTTGGTTTTCCTCAAAGCCATGGAGAAGAATCAGTCAGAAAGTCAGTAACGTGGGGACTTACATGGCTTGACTCATCTTTTGTGAAGTTATTCTAAGACAGGAGAAGTAGCAAGGGCCCATAGAAGTGCTCGCAGTCCATCTACGCCCTGTCATTTGAACATGGAGGCCAAGCTAAAACACATAGTGCCCTCCTACTGAACGAGGTAGCACTACCATGCTCCTCTGTCCTAAAATACTAGAGTAGTGTCCCAGATTTTGGTGCTCCTGATAAAAATCACTTTCAGATGACAGATTGTTTACTTTCAAATGCTGAACTTTTCATTTTCAAAATGTCAGTTCGATATCTATTTGTTATTTATATTAAATAATTACTGGTTGCTATTTAAATGGTATATATGCAATGTCTTCCGCCTTGTTCAATACCTAAATTATTTAGGACATTCTAATAAAGGAGGCAGACAGTTCTCAGGTTCCTTCTACTCATGACATGGCTGCAGTTATCTAGCAACTGTGAGGGTCTAGAGGGAGGGTCCTGTGTCTGCAGAGTCCCCCCTCCAGCTCACACACTAGATCTATCCATCCTGTGTGGGGTCCTGGGGTTCTCCGCTGTCCCCTCACATCCACATTAAAGTACACTTTTCATTGTTCCCATATGCTTGCCCCTGACAGCTATCTTTTTTGAGTGGCCTGGTCTTCAACAAGCCAGGCTTCTTAACACTCTGTGCTGAGCCATAGGTGATGACCTGTCGGGAGAGTGAAGCACCTGGGTTCTGATGGCTTTGCCCCAGCACAAAGATCTAGCTTCTTTCTCCTTCTGGGCTCCAGCTGGATTCTGGGACCTACACTGCGGAGAGTCTGATATTTGAATGAGGGCATCTGCTGGGCTACATTCTGGAAAAGGTATTTTGCAATCTCCACTTAAGCATGATGAGTTTGGACTTTCCCAGAATCTTCCAGGTGAGCTTTGCCTGCGTGTTCTAGCCACATGGTCTCTCTGCAGAAGAGCTGGAGTGCAGGTACAAAGTACCAGAACAAGCATGGTGTTTACTCCTCAGATTCTCCTGCTCAGAACAGTAGCCCTCAGTCCTGCCCTTTCTCACCCAAGTATTCTCTTCATAGCTCCCAAACTGTTTCTAATGCTGACTTTCTCCCTCTCCCTCCCTCCTTCTTCTCACTTTTGCTCTGTGTGTGTGTGCATGTGTGTGCATGTGTGCGTGCATGTGTGTGTATGCGTGTGTGTATGTGCGCACGCACGCATGTGTGTATATGTCTGCAATGTTTGTATGTGCATTTGGGGGAGTGCCCCCTCCTATGCACACAGAGGTCAGAGCAGAGTGTCAGGTGTCCCAGTCTACCACTCTCTGCTTTATTCCCCTAAGACAGCATATCCGGGAACTTGGGCTCGGTTGGCTAACAGAAGCCCCAGCAATCCTCCCATCTCTGCAGCCCTCAGTGCTGGACTTACTCGGGTTCATGACCATATCTGGATTTTTACATGGAGTGCTGGGGATTTGAACTCAGGTCTTCATGCTTGTCCAGCAAATGTTCTTACCCACTGAGCCATGACCCAGCCCTGATGCTGCTTCTGCTCGGTTTTTCTCGTTTGCACATCACATGTTCTCTGACCGTCAGTTGCTCTGCTTGCCTCTTTTTCTACTTTAGCTGGTGTCTTTGAGGTTGTAATAGTTGGGTCCAGTAATGAATATTTGGGGGTTATATGTCTCCAGCCTCTTATAATGCACCCCTCTCCTTCCCTCTCAATATCTCACCATACTTTTTCCTTTACTTCCTTCAGCTGTAACAAAGGTCAGCATGCAGACGTGCTTGGGTTTTTCAGAGATGGATCCATAATCCACAGCTGCCCTTTATTCTGTGTAGTTTACTGAATATGAAGTGAGCAGGGGACCAGCAATACCTCAGCTCCTAGATACTGCGCAAAACCCTCAGAGCAGACTTGCCCCTGCCCAGAGACTGCTAGACTCATCCTTGTCCTCGGGTGCCTGGCGGAAGTCCCATCTATGGGCTGGCTGCCTACCATGCCATAAGAACAGCAACTTGAGGGGAGGGGACTAGATATGTGTGAGGGGGAAAATTATTCCAAGGAACACTGCGATCAATGGCAATTCATTCACCCAGCACACACACACACACACACACACACACACACACACACACACACGCACGCACACACACACAATTAAAAGAACTTTATATTAATCAACTGGAGCAGGAATTTATGTGGCAATCAACAGCTGAAAAAAATGCAAAAAAAAGGACATGACCTTTTCAAGATAAATGAAGACTTCATTTTCAAAGTAACCAGATTCTTTTTTAATCATTTTTATTAAACTAATATTTATTTTTTTTCTAGCCCAATTATAGTTTCTTCTCCCTCCCTCCTCTCCTCCCAGGCCCTCCCCCTAACCACCACTACACCCCCCTCACTCCTCCTCCTTTCTCTTCAGAAAAGGACAGGACTCCCTTGTAAATCAGTCAGCCATGGCATAATCGAGTTGCAGTAAGCTAATCTTACTAAGCTAAGCACCACCTCTCCTATTAAGGCTGGATGAGGCAACCAGTAGGAGGAAAGGATCCCCAAAGCAGGAAACAGAGTCAGAGACAGCCCCTGCTCCCACTGTTAGGAGTCCCACAGGAAGACCAAGTTACACAATTATAACCTATGTGCAGAGGGCCTGGGTCAGACCCAGGCAGGCTCCCTGGTTGTCAGTTCAGACTCTGTGAGCAACTATGAGCCCAGGTTAGTTGATTCCGTGGGTCTTCTTGTGATGTCCTTGACCCCTCTGTCTCCCACAATCCTCCCTCCTCTCTTCTACAGGATTTCCCGAGGTCCACCTAATGCTTGGCTGTGGGTCTCTGCATCTGTTTCCATCAGCTGCTGGGTGAAGCTTCTCTGATGACAATTGGGCTAGGCACCAATCTATGAGTATAGCAGAATATCATTAGGAATCATTTCATTGACTTTTTTTTTTTTTTTTTTTTTTTGGTTCCATCCTAGGTCCTGGGCTGTCCAGGCTCTGGGTCCTGGCCCTCTAGGCTACATCAGGGGTGGGTTTCCTCTCATGGCATGGGTCTCAAGCTGGATCAGTCATTGATTGGCCACTCCCATAATTTCTGTGCTACCTTTACCCCAGCATATTTTGTAGGTAGGACAAATTGTAGGTCGAAGGTTATGTGGCTAGGTTGGGGTCCCAACGCCTCCAGTGGAAGTCTTCCCTGGAGTAACTAGATTCTTAAACATCACTCTAGTCTAAATGAAGACAGATTAATTTTACACACAAAAAGATTCATAACATTGATTTCATTGATACATAAAATCAAATATTATGTTACTGTCCAACAAAATAGCCCCTCCCCCAAAATAACAACCCCGCGCTTTGCTCAGTGAATGACACAGGAGACAGGTTAGAAACAGACCCTCCTGTTTTGCCTCGTTAGGGCCCATCCTACGTACAATCATCATATTTGCTCACAAAGTTTGGGGGGGGTGAGATTTGCTAGGGGGACTTGCTTGTCATTTCCACACTGTCTGGAAGCATCTCCGGTGTTACGACGACAAGCCTGTCACGGCTGATGCTGTGTTGCTCAGTCACCTCAACAGAAGCCAGTGAAGGAGTGACAGCTGGAACCGCTGAGGCAAAGACGTGCCATCAGGTGGACTAATGGACGAAACAAAATGCCAGCGAAGTGACTCTGTCGTGTCCCCTGTTTTCTTAGCCCATCTTAATACATTACATAGCCTCCTTTCTTTGTGATTAAAAAAACACACAACGTGAAACTTGCCGTCCTGGCTGTGTTGACGTATCCAAACACTCATGGATCTGCACAATGTTTTGGTTTTGGTTTTGGTTTTTGGCTCAGGGGGTGGAGGAGGGTGTAAGGCTCAAACCCAGGACCCCTGTCCCTGTCCACTGGGCAAGTGCTCTGCTGCTGAACCACATCAGCAGCCCTGCACATTGATGTGCCACTGACCTCTGAAAGGTTTCCATCTTGATGAACTGTGACTCTGTGACCTTTGAACAACTCCCTTCCCGTTTCTCCCCACACCTTGGCAACTGTTCTACTTTTCATGAGAGTGTAATTACTTTAGCAGGGGGTGATGGCTCACACCTGTATTCTCAGCACTCGGGAGGTTGCTACAGGAGGATCCCCATGAGTTGGAGGTCAGCCTGGGCTACATAGTGAGTTCCAAGCCATCCTGGCCTAGAGAGTGAGACTGTCTAAAAAATGCAAAATAAATATTTTGAGAGTTTGACTACTTTAGATACCTTCTTCACATGAAATCTATCCCAGACTCCTTAGCACTGTATTCTGGAAAATATTTTCCTCATGTGGGAAACTGATAGGCCAGGGGAACTATTGGTCCTACCATGTAACTTGCCTTGCTTCATTCTATTGAACAAATTTCACCTATGGAACAAATGGCCCAATCACATTACTAAACTCACTGGAATCTCTGTCACCTCAGATTATCTCGTGGAGGAATTTGAAGCGGCTCCCGAGTTTGACAGATGTTGATTTCTACAGCTGCTTATTATTATCTGATCTCTCTCATCTCTATAACTAAAACATCACGAGCATGTGGTCTTGTTTATTCTACATTTCCAAACCGTCACAAAAAATGAGGCAAGGATGTAGTAGATGAGCTAGCCTGTCTTTGACATGCCG